TTGTATGAGTGGTGATCTTGCCCATAGTGGAGGTAGAGGGGATGATCGAAGGGATATCATTGGTGGATTGCTTGGAGGTCTGGGTCTAGGACCTCTTGCCTCACCTAGTGGTCCGTTATCAACATCTGTCATGGAAAAGTCCTTTAGAGGAACTATTAACCCAAGTGCATTGGCCCTCAACCAGCAACCAAATCAGCAGACACCTGGTGGAAAGCCCAAGCGCCCTCGTAAGCCCCGCAAGAAGAAGGAACCTGGTGTGGTTGGTGTTGAGCCCCCTAAAAGAAGGCAGTCCTCTCACAGACCAGGAGGGACAGGTGGTGATGTTAGACCTTATTTGTGCAGCGTCTGTGGTCGAGGATTTGCAAGAAGAGAGACCTTGCGGAGGCATGACAGAATACACACTGGAGAAAAGCCTCACCATTGTAATGTGTGTGGCAAGTACTTCAGAGAGGCATTCCATCTTAGCAAGCACCACACAGTGCATTCTGGAGAGAAGAACTACAAATGTATCCTGTGTGGAAAGGACTTTGGATATGCGCAGAGCCTTAAAAGACATGGCAAGCTACACCAGAAAGGAGAAATGGAAGAAGTGGCAACCACGCCAGGTGTGGAAAACCTTAACCGCTATCCATCCTCTGGTGGCAGCTTGATTCAAGGAGGTCAAAGCGGCGGCTCTTCTTTCTATTCATATACTCAAGATGTCAAGCCACAGACATCAACCACTCAGCCCCCTCCTAGACTGTACACATGTGCGATATGCTGGAAATCGTTCCGCCATCACTTTCACTTGACGGCACATCACCAAACTGTTCATGAGGGTGGTGGAGAAAAGCTGTTTTCTTGTGAAGTGTGTGGTAAGGCATTTGCATACTCTAACAGCCTTACACGACACAGGCTTTCTCAACATGGCTTAACACGGACTGGCCAGCCAGTTGCTCAAAGGAGCACAGGGGAAGATAACAGTGTTGGTGTTACTATACCGGAAAGCGAAGCTGCTACAAATGCTTTGCTTCAGCTCGCACCACCTAGTGGCACACATCCTGAACAACATGGAGTTCTTCATAGCCAGCAGGCTCCTCCCCAAACACAAGCTGGCTACTCCCCTCTGTTCTATATACCCGATACCAATGCTGCACAGAATGCCTCCTCTTATTCTCATTCTCTGCCGTCAACTTCCTCAGGGCCTCTTCTTTGTAACCATCAGCAACAACACACTGGGATAAAGGGTGAACCCATTTATCACACTGGTCATGTGCATACTCTTGCTCCAAACATACCAGTGCATTCCCTCGCGTTGCCTCCATCAGAGCCACATCAGCACCACCACAATTCCCAGCAGCATTCAGCTGAGTTTCAATCTACACACCACCACACTTTTCAAAGCCAAGAGGAGTTGAGGAGACAGAAGAAAAAAAAAAAAAGACAGCAAGAGAGAGAGGAGATAGGCTACAAATGGACCCCGGCTGCAAAAGTAGAGAGAGAACAGGTGGAGGCCTCCCTTGGGGAAAAGCAGAGAAATGAGAGAAGAAAACTTGTTAAAAGAAAAAGGAGAGCAATTCACAGGACGCAACATAAAATTAAGAAGCGCATGGCTGTGCTCGTGAGAATCAGACGTGGAAGTGGAGGAAGTGCTGTGTATGAACTGGGCCTTCCAGGTGGACTGAAGCTTAACAGGCTTCGTTCTCTCAAAGTTCCTCTGAAACGAAAGTCCTGTCCCCTTTGCCTTGGTGCTACCTTCTCTCAACAGGTAGCCCTTAAAGTTCACATAGCAGCTAGACATTGTCCCAAAGTGAGAGGCCTTCAGCATCGTTTGAAATGTCCAGTTTGTGGAAAACAGTCTCGCAAGTTCCTCTCAGCTCTCATTCACAGAAGCTCCCATTTAGCCAACAGAGCATTTTCTTGTAAACATTGTCCCTGTCGTTTCTGGAATGCAATGCTCCTCACACGGCATAAGAAGGTGTGTCGTGGGACGTTGGCTAAGTTTCAACGAGATAGGGCTCTTTGTGTTAAATTAGTCATGGGATCGACATACAGGAGGTTTGAGTGTAAAGGGAACTCTTCATCCTTGCATATGGAATATAGTCACTAAGTTTTGCCATTAAACTCATTTTCATATGCACTTTTAGAAGAGAAGTGTTGCGATTTTCATGAGAAGAACTGAGATATCTGACTGGATACATCTTATGCTCATGTAGGCATTGACTTGTGTGTTATGAGAGCTTTTTCTTTTCACTCTCATTCATATTAAATTTCCTCTTGTAACTTGGACCCCTGAAAATGAACACCTTCAACAAACTCACAAATGTATCAAAGACATTTGTCTTAATGAAATGCTTAGCCTACCCATCTGTTCAATATCACACTTCTAAGAGGAAACTCTTGTTCATATTGAAATTATCCTTGGCTGGCAATAGATGAAGTTTCAGTGATTTGGCAAATATTGTATTGTGCCCTAACAGTAGGTTATTGCTCACCTCAACAGATGCTCTGTAGAATTATTCTGTCTCTGATATATATTGTGTTGTTGGTGTTCACTTAGAGCAAGTGTGGAGATGTGATTTTGTTAATGTAAAAAGTGCATTCAGTATCAGGAGAAAAAAGGGTCCTGCTAGGAAGATGAGTATTTTATTTTAAGGAATATATTACTGCATGTTGGACACTACTGTCCATGTGTTGAAAGGTCAGTGCCAGTGATGAGACTTTGGACTCTGATGGTTACATGACAAATCCAATTGAAAATGTATCTTAACTCTTAATAGAGGAACCATAAGAAATTAATGCATAATACATGCTGAGTAACAATTCTTAAAATCAATTGTGAGCCCTGTTTTGATTTATTTACTTCAAGAAAACTATACCACTAAGATGGTAATGCCAGCACTTAAACAGGAAAAATATGATTTTTCACAACCATAAAGGACAAAAAATGTAATACCCATAGAAGCCTTACCACATTTTATGGGTAATACAATGTAGCGTCTATGTATAGAGCTTACTGGAGAAATGGAAAGAAATATGTGTTCTGTAATGTAAATTGTGTCAATATTTTATTATGTTTTTTAAGCAAAAGTCAATCTTTTTATCATAGCTACACTTCAGGTAGTTGGAAGAGTGATTGTAAGAGTTATCACTTTAGATCCGGTCTTGATTAAGTGTACTAATGTGTGACACAGTCTGTCCACTTGCCAACTATGAACGTATCCGATGTACTTTTCTCACCTTTCATGTAGAGATCCCATACTACTTATAAGCCTCTTTTTCTTTAAAAGAAGAAAAGTAATAAGTATGTTTCTATCACTTTATTTACACATGGTAAGCTGGTTGTTGATGAAACCCAAGCATTTAATAAAATTGTAAAATGTTATATCCTCATTAATTCCATGTAAACATTTATTGTTACCTCAGTATTTAATATTTATCTGCATTTATATTAAAATATGGCAAATATGCATTTTGCATAAACATTTTTTTTCATGGTTTAATCAATTCCTGAAGTTGTTTTATTGTTACTTAACATTTATTATTTATTTATTGCTTCTGTTAAATCTTTGTCACAATGTTTAAATATTTATCATTACATTATTCTGTTGCTATAAGATCACCGTTTTACCATGCAGTGTGATCTTACTTTTTTTTGTAGATATCTTAAGGGAATAGTTGTCTAAATATATTTATATTTAAGGATATATAAGTATATATAAAGATTTTACATTCGTTACCAGACAGAAAGTGGCTTTTTAATTGGCAAATGTCATTTAGTATTGCTAATGAAAAAAAATCGATGTAGTCCAATTCTTATTTTGTAATGTATTGAGCGCCCTTCTTTCCATCATTTGACCAACATTGGTCAGTTTCTGTCTGAACATGATGATTTTTTTTTTTTTTTAGAATTATAGTTGAATAATAGGTGTTGAGGCTGTGAAACTGACTAAACAGAAGGTTTTAGAACATTTGAGAGTGCTATTTTCCATGTTGATCAGTTGGTGGCAGCAAGGATCCTACAATCTATGATATGAAGCTGGGAGCACAAATGTCACATGGATTTAAACGCCGATAGTGGGCGGAAAACAAGTACCCTGAGCCCTCGGGTGTGTGTGCTCACGAGGTAGACTTCAAATTAATGTGCGTCTAAGAGACGGGTTTTTGTTTATAGAAAAAAGCAAGGAAGAAAAGAATGTGCGGAAAAAAGGTCCTTAGCAGATAACATTCTGTTCTGTCTTTTGCATGTCAACCATGTCTTTGCATTCTCATTAATTCGTTTTATAATATCTTTGAAAGCAAATACAATAGTTTAAGTTGTGAAATCGTAAGACCTGCATTGAGCATCACAATACTTTGACACTCTCGTGAGGTTAGGTTCATCAGGTTCAACCCCAGCAAATCTATTTCCTTCATTTCTGAATCTTTTGTGGGTGTGCGGCACTCTTCCCCTGGATTCGCGCAGTTTCTGTATTCTCACGCGGCTGTAGCATGGGTGGGATAAATGGGCGGAGCGCAGTTCTCCACGGTAGCCAGTAACAGTGCGCGCAGGGAGGAGCCTCTTTTCTCTCAGCCAATGGCAGTAAAAAGAACAGACAGGCTCAGCCGCTTCTCCGCGTGCGGACACCATGTGCACTGGAGAGCTCGTCTGTGTTTGTGAGACACAACGTGTAGTTGCCATCTCTCGCGTGATGCTCACGTTTCCCGCGGATTACTAGTGAAGTGAAAAAGTGTCCATTCGCTTAATAGTTTTTCTTTCTCTTTTGGTTTTTGGCCAAAGCTAGCGCTCTGATAGGACTGAGTGTAAAAACTTGACAGGTTGTTAAATAAATCATAATTCTGATGCACGTTAAAGCTGTCCACTTTCCAACGTAGTAAGTGGCCACATGTTTCTGCGTTTTCTGGGTGCCAAACAGGCGTCATCGGGACAGCTGGGAGAGAAATTATTGACCAATTTGTTTTTAATCAGCGCTACTAACCCCCGAGGAGCGTGCCTGTCACGAGGGGGCGTGCCTCATTAATATTAAACAGTGCTGCGCTTTCACTCTGGGAGGTGTGACGTCACGCGAGCGGCCCGTGTTCGTTCCAGCTGAGCGAAAAGCTCGGAGGGCTCAGCTCAAAGTGTGCGGTAACACACATGCAGAGAGAACTGAACAGAAGGGGTGACCACAAGGGGAAAAAGCGATTGAGCGACTGAATGGAAAAAAACGTCAACATCCCACAAATCGCACTACGCAGCAGTCTCAGCAAGGATTTCTTCGTTTTGTTTTCATTTGTTATTCTGGAGACGACGCAAGTTTCGCGCATTCAAGAGTTGAGCGCGCATTCACGTTATCGTTTGCACTATTGGATTCCTTATTCTCCGAGATTTTTCCATTCCGCGCTGTTTTCTTCTGAAACCGTTGTATCCTGTTAATTTGTTGCGGTTTTTTTCTACGTTGGTCTTGGGCATAACATCGCTATTTTTGACATTCGCCTGTATTTATAAAAGTTCCAGCAGAAGATAAGCTGTCAACATTTTCTGGAATTACTGGGAATGTATATTTTTATCCACTTGGCCAATCTACAATCAAATGCGAGCAGAATGGCTCTCTTTGTTTAAAACCATCAAATAAAGGTAAATTAAAATGAATGTTCTTGATATCAGATGCTCTGGTGCACGTGAGCTGCGCAGGTCGTTCCTCCTCTGTCTCTAAAGTAAACGCGGTCTCGTGTTGCAGTACTAAACAACTTTGTTTACTTTAATGCTACTCTAATGATACGAACTTAATCCAAATACATCATATATTAGTATATGTGCTGTTTCTCTACGAATTAATGCTAATATATATTTTGTGTTGTTGTTTCCACTATGAATCGTCATGTGATTGATTTCACGGCTACACAATAGTATTGAATCACCCAAACATCTAGCGGTCAAGGGAGCTCAATCCGGCTGACGTTGGATGATGGCCAGGCCGCTTTCACAGCTCCTTCCCCCGGACCTTCCCTCTGCCGGAGCCAGTCCACAGTTTGGCAACAGTATCCAGGCAGGAGGCTCACTTAACGGAGGACACTTAAACTCCACTGCAAACTTAAAGTCTCTCCTGCAGCTCCCAGTGAAGGGCGACCAGCGCGTCAAAGACTGTAGTGAAATGAAGGGTGAGGAAACGCACCTGCTTCCCTGCCACTCGGTGTTTATTATAACGAGCTCCCTCTCAACCTTTAGTTTGTTCCCCTTTGGAATGTGTAAATATTGTGTTAATAGTCACAAGGACAGTTAGTTTCCTGATTAGTGTGATTACTGATGATAAAAAGTGTGGTTGAACATGTCAAATGACAGAGTCATGTGCAACTGTGCATATCTCAGTGAACCTCAAGACAGGACATCACATGGGACTTAGTTGAAGAGATAAACAAGGCCAGGCCTTTCAGCCACTTAGCTCCCTACCCAGGTACTTTGAGGTCAGCTGTTGGCAAAGCCATTTTGTTTACAGGTCTGTGCAATGCACAGCATAACCACACCAACAGACGTTTTCCATTGCCTGTGAATACAACATTGTGAATATTGGAAAAGCTTCTTTATGGATTGCTGTCAGTGGCATTGTTTTGTAATGATTATCTGGTTAACATGAATAGAAACTGACCCTAAATAGGTGAGGGAAAAACTCTTAAACCAGTGTCAATCCCGTTTCTGTGCACACAGCTTTTGAAAACACATTTATCGTTAAAACCACTGCAGTTACTTTTGAATACTGATATTTTTTTCAAACAGCACGTAAATGATTCAAGAGTTTTTGCACTTTTGGTGTTAATTGTTTTTAAGCTTGAGTATTTTTTCAGTGACACTACTGTTTTTCTGTAGAGAAAAGAATTCAAATTTAAAATGTGTTGCAGTTACAGTTTTATGGTTTGTTTTTATACAATATAGCTAAACCAGAAATGTCTCATTTCAAACTCTCTTTTCTGGTTCTGGTTTCCTCACCAATGCACCGTAAAATGCCTAATTTAGAATAACTAGTGTTGTTAAGATTTTAGACCCCACCCTAGAGTGTCTCAGGCCCCATGAGCTGCGCAGGTCGTTCCTCCTCTGTCTCTAAAGTAAACGCGGTCTCGTGTTGCAGTACTAAACAACTTTGTTTACTTTAATGCTACTCTAATGATACGAACTTAATCCAAATACATCATATATTAGTATATGTGCTGTTTCTCTACGAATTAATGCTAATATATATTTTGTGTTGTTGTTTCCACTATGAATCGTCATGTGATTGATTTCACGGCTACACAATAGTATTGAATCACCCAAACATCTAGCGGTCAAGGGAGCTCAATCCGGCTGACGTTGGATGATGGCCAGGCCGCTTTCACAGCTCCTTCCCCCGGACCTTCCCTCTGCCGGAGCCAGTCCACAGTTTGGCAACAGTATCCAGGCAGGAGGCTCACTTAACGGAGGACACTTAAACTCCACTGCAAACTTAAAGTCTCTCCTGCAGCTCCCAGTGAAGGGCGACCAGCGCGTCAAAGACTGTAGTGAAATGAAGGGTGAGGAAACGCACCTGCTTCCCTGCCACTCGGTGTTTATTATAACGAGCTCCCTCTCAACCTTTAGTTTGTTCCCCTTTGGAATGTGTAAATATTGTGTTAATAGTCACAAGGACAGTTAGTTTCCTGATTAGTGTGATTACTGATGATAAAAAGTGTGGTTGAACATGTCAAATGACAGAGTCATGTGCAACTGTGCATATCTCAGTGAACCTCAAGACAGGACATCACATGGGACTTAGTTGAAGAGATAAACAAGGCCAGGCCTTTCAGCCACTTAGCTCCCTACCCAGGTACTTTGAGGTCAGCTGTTGGCAAAGCCATTTTGTTTACAGGTCTGTGCAATGCACAGCATAACCACACCAACAGACGTTTTCCATTGCCTGTGAATACAACATTGTGAATATTGGAAAAGCTTCTTTATGGATTGCTGTCAGTGGCATTGTTTTGTAATGATTATCTGGTTAACATGAATAGAAACTGACCCTAAATAGGTGAGGGAAAAACTCTTAAACCAGTGTCAATCCCGTTTCTGTGCACACAGCTTTTGAAAACACATTTATCGTTAAAACCACTGCAGTTACTTTTGAATACTGATATTTTTTTCAAACAGCACGTAAATGATTCAAGAGTTTTTGCACTTTTGGTGTTAATTGTTTTTAAGCTTGAGTATTTTTTCAGTGACACTACTGTTTTTCTGTAGAGAAAAGAATTCAAATTTAAAATGTGTTGCAGTTACAGTTTTATGGTTTGTTTTTATACAATATAGCTAAACCAGAAATGTCTCATTTCAAACTCTCTTTTCTGGTTCTGGTTTCCTCACCAATGCACCGTAAAATGCCTAATTTAGAATAACTAGTGTTGTTAAGATTTTAGACCCCACCCTAGAGTGTCTCAGGCCCCATCTAAATGCTTTAAGACGGAAACCTTCAGATTTAAGACCTTCAGACGCCATGTCCGCTTTCACATTGTTTTTGTGTTGCGTTGCTCCTGTAGATTAGAAGTGGTTTTATACCAACTAAAAATAACCAGTAACCACTTAACTCAATATACACTACACTAAACCAGAGCGTCATTGTAGTATTGCTGTTACACTACTGTAATATTGTGTTAAACAATACACGTCTGACTTTGTGTTACACATGTTGCCTTTTGGCTTTGGTTCAGACATAATACCATAGTTCTGTTACATTTAGCCATTGTTCAACTGTATTGTTGCTGAAACGCAGAGTTAAGCAGTGTCACTGCGGTGTAACATTGTAATCGCTTTACCATGGTTTTTCAGGAATGTCAAAACGCATTAATCTTTTGCGAGTTTAAAGGAAAGTATTTCAAAGGCTCTTCATTTTGCATTGATGCACTGGGAGCTTTTCACATGTGTTGACATTGCAGAGGTAGTTCTCCCAGAGGGATGTGAAAGTTGCTGGGAAGTGTTATTCTAACTACGTAATCTGAGCACCATCAGAAAAACTGCTCTCTTGAAATCTACAAAAGTCAATATATGTGTTCCTAAGAATAGTTAGAATGGTTTGAGAGTGTTAAGCCCCATTCACACCAAGAACGATAACTATAAAGATAACGATATTAGCATCCACACCAGCGGACAATATCGTCTGTTTATTCTAAGCGCACACTCGTCTGCCGCTTTAAATTCTCAAGCTCGTTATAGCAGGATGGATTCTGATTGGGTGTCAATGTTTGTATTGTTCATCGGCTGGTAAAAATCGTTCTGAAAGCGATTCCAACGATATCGTTTGTCTGTGCCTTTATCGTTATAGCTGTGGGGTGGACTCTGCTATGCTTTAATATTGAGAACGATTTTTAGAACTATATCTTTCTCTTCATAGGTAAGGACAGGTTGGACATCGATGAAGACTCTCTCGGTCGTTGTCCTCTGCGCAACGGCTGCAGCAATGGACTAGTCGCTGACAGCAACGGCGCAGGCACGGGCAGCTTTTCTAACAGCAACAACAGTTCCTTCCTGGGCCCGTTGCTATGGGAACGAACATTGCCATGTGATGGTGGGCTGTTCCAGTTGCAGTACATGGACCTCGAGGAGTTTCTGACAGAGAACGGGATGAGCAGCATGCACAGTACCTCCAACTCCACCTCGGCTCAGATACCCTCGCAAAGCTCTCAGTCCGCCGTACCCAACCAGGGCTCCCAGTGCCTCCCCACATCGCCCCCACACTGCTCCTCATCCTCCTCACCGACATCCACCACCGCCTCGTCCTCGCCATCTCTGCTCGGGCTGGACATGCACACGCCGCAAAGCATGCTGGGAGCCACAGACTGCTTGCATGGTGAGTTTGCTTTCGCAGTTCAGAGATTTAACTAGCAGTGAAAGATAAGCTAGAGAGGATGTTAGAAACCCGCGAGACGAACGGTCTGGAGGCAAGCCGTCGAGATGAAGAAAGGAAGCTCTGTGGGCCGAAAATGAGGTCTGCACAGTTCAAACACTTCCCCCATTTTGCTTACAAGAAATTCCCCTGGATTTCAGTCTGTTTGCGAGTTGTGAAAAGTACCAGACTGTCCCTTGGGTGTGTGCTACTGTGTAGTTTCAGAGTATTAATGGTTTGGGTGTGTGTGTTATTATGAGTGTGTATTGGATGCTCATGGTGTGTGTTTGTAGGCTTCACTGTCAAGGTTTGGGTGGTTTTTGGGAGTGAGTGTTACAGGGTGTGCAGCTGTTTGTGCTTTTGCGAAGACGTGAGTTGTGTTTTATAGGTACGTGTTAACATAGCATTTTTTTGTGTCATCAAATATATTTACAGGCTGTTTAAAAGGTGAGTGGGAAGTTTGCGTGCGTGTTACTTAAAAAAAAAAAATGGGCCAGTTAGAAATATACAAAAGAGAAAACTGCAGTCTGTCTTGCAGGACTGACAAAAGGGATATACAAAGATAAATAGTGATGACAGCGAGTGAAAAGAGAGGAAAAGATTTTGATATAGAGCTGAGAACAAGACAGCGATTGAAAGGCCGGTAAGTAAACCGTGGGAGACACACAGGTGAGCCAGTGAAAGGCAGAGACGGCATGTGTGCGATTGTGCTCGCATGTTTTTAAATCTCTTCCTCTTCTCACACGCTTGGTCCATGTGCGCTCGCTCAATCACGTGCCGAGGCAGGCAGAGTGAGGGGGAGGAGCAGAGGAGAGGAGGTATGTGAGGGAGTGTGTGTGAGTAACAGACGGAGAGATTGAAAGATTGAGATGGAATGTCTCAGTGCGAGTTGATACTGTACTTCGATTAGATGTTTGTTTACATTTCTGGAGTGGCTGAGAAGAGAGAGAGAAAGATTAAAAGTGCTACTGGTGAATATTTGGAATGTTTATATATTTATTTACTTACTTTATTATTTATTTATTTGTTTGTTTGTTTGATCATTGTTTTTGGCCATTGTGGAAATAGACATAACCATGTCTGTTTTGTGTCTGTATGTTCAAGCAATCTGCCAGGCAGGAAAAACCCATTATGAATTTCCCATTATAGGAGAAAAACAACTAAAATATAAGTAAAAAATACATACATACATACATAAATGAACGAATAAATAAACCGTTTGCTTGCATTAACATAAATTCACTATCAAATTATTAGAGTAGTGAAACCACAAGTTTAAAAATTCGGAAATACAGAGTTTAGGCTAAAAATATTGGAAAATGAAAAAAAACAAGAGAAGGATTAATGGATTGAGTTGTTGTCTGCTGCCTGTTACTGCCCCCTTGTGTGTCTTCTGGGTAATGTTTTGAGAGTCCCATCATTCTGAATGCATGCACATAGCAGCGTGACTTAATCGAAGCATCCACTTTGTGTTTATACCGTCAGGCACTCCGCCAGGCAGCTTGGAGCCAACGCCCTCACCTTCTTCCACCACATGTCCACCACTCCCTACTCCACCCATCGCTAACTGCAACAACATGTTGGCGCCCTTTGACCCTGATCCTAAGGATGTTGCCCTGTCGAGTGTGCCTGGACAGGATGCGTTTGACCCCCGCAGGCATCGGTTCAGTGACGATGAGCTCAAACCTCAGCCCATGATTAAAAAGGCTCGCAAGATGCTTGTCCCTAATGACCTGAAGGTGAGAAGCTCAATGCAGTAGCATGCTATGGACATATATCATTTATTATAAACACTTGGCATGGTGAAACATAAAGGAGATCCTAACAGAATTATAAGTGGAGCATGTGCCTTCATCATATGAACACTGGATTTTGTGAAGCGAGTTTATTTTGTTTATAGACCTAATAGCTTACAATCAATATTATTGTGTAGCTGTCTATCTAAGCTTCAATAGTCATCTGTCACTGTGTAGATTTTTCTCACTGATTATTTGGCAAAGATTTACAATTAGTTTATTTTGTCCTGCACATTATGAATGTTGGCTGGAACATTCCACCCTCATTTTGTTCAACAGGTCTGACATTCTTAATGCTTCTATGCAAATTTAGTAATGCAGATACAGGCATGTTTGCATCGGTACAGACAGTGACACTGTAACATTGCCATTTATTGATAACAGTAGATTTCAAAATAAAGATAAGAAAAAATATAGTCATAATTAGTTACCAAAACATGTTACTAGAATAGTTTTAGTATTATGAAGTAACAGAGAGTGATTTATGAAGCATGTCACATTGACTTCATTGGGCAATGGGTGGTAGCATAGCGTATGTGGTCAAATCTCAAGACTAAGGCAGATGTCTTGGAAACCAAGGGTCTCAGATATGTCAGCTTTTTTGTTATAAAGGGCACAGCAGTCTAAAGGGGAAATTCCTTTATCTTCTGGGAGCAAATGGATGTTTTGAATACTTGGAAAAGAAGCAACATTCTTAATGTTTTGGGCTTTTTTTAAAGGGATAGTTCACCCAGAAAAGAAATCTGTCATTTTCTCACCCTGATGTCATTCCAAACACATGGAATTAGAGTCCAAACAATGTTATTTTATTTAAAACATTTTTTTAAATCAGCAACCAGTGAGTAGTACACAAGTCATATTACAAACCAGGATCACAAAAAAGTAATAAAAAAAAAAAAAAACCCTCATCAGAACGCTCTGTTTGAATAGGCGTGGTGGATTGTGGACTCGGAAGTAGCCGCCCACTGCTATGATTGGCTAACACATGTATATGTTTGACAGCCTACATTCCTCACAGATGGATGCTGCAGTGATTTAGGTTTAAAACGCATAAATACTCCTAACAATCAATCTGTTTAACAGACAAAGCAATAGTGACCACGTAATAAAAACAGTTACTCGCACTTGTGTGTTAAGACATTACTGTCAGATCCAATATAGTCGGCACAGCATCATCTTTTAGTTTCAATCTTTTTGAAAATCCCGCATCGAATTTAATTAAAAATAAAGTTCATTCAAGACAGCGATTGAAAGGCCGGTAAGTAAACCGTGGGAGACACACAGGTGAGCCAGTGAAAGGCAGAGACGGCATGTGTGCGATTGTGCTCGCATGTTTTTAAATCTCTTCCTCTTCTCACACGCTTGGTCCATGTGCGCTCGCTCAATCACGTGCCGAGGCAGGCAGAGTGAGGGGGAGGAGCAGAGGAGAGGAGGTATGTGAGGGAGTGTGTGTGAGTAACAGACGGAGAGATTGAAAGATTGAGATGGAATGTCTCAGTGCGAGTTGATACTGTACTTCGATTAGATGTTTGTTTACATTTCTGGAGTGGCTGAGAAGAGAGAGAGAAAGATTAAAAGTGCTACTGGTGAATATTTGGAATGTTCTATGTGATTAAAAAGCACATGCAGAAGCCATCACATCACATATTTGTACAGATTTTATCAAGCTGTCTCAAAAAAAACTAACTGTGCATGTGCATCAGTGGACAGTAAAGAGGGGATCATTGCCAAATGGGGTTAAAGTTATTCTTAAGGGCACTTCTCAGACTTAGATTAGATTTATGGCTCAAAACATAGATTTTCAAAGCATAGCAATGGCAGTTTTGTTGTGCTGTTATGACGGGGTTCACTTTTTATATATATATATATTTATTTATTTATTTATTTATTAGTACTGTCAAACGATTATAAAAATCGCATCCAAAATAAGTTTTTTTTTTTAGATAATATGTGTGTGTACTGCGTATTTATGTATATATAAAGAGCAATAGTGACCACGTAATAAAAACAGTTACTCGCACTTGTGTGTTAAGACATTACTGTCAGATCCAATATAGTCGGCACAGCATCATCTTTTAGTTTCAATCTTTTTGAAAATCCCGCATCGAATTTAATTAAAAATAAAGTTCATTCACTCTTTCCTAACATTGGGATCAGAAGGAAGGCAATGCAAGGACTGTTTTTCCACAACTTGGCACTGCACGGTGTCTTGCTGTCTTCAGAGCCATCTTTATCATTTGGTTTCTGCGTAGACCTGCGTTTGATAAATATATAATATATAAACGTAACATATTTCTCTTAAATGTATACATGCATGTTTGTGTATTTATATATATATATACATATACATAATAAATATACATGGTACACACACATATGTTATGTAAACAAAAACCTTTATTTTGGATGTGATTTAATCATTTGACAGCACTTAATATACATTATATACATTTATTTTATTTTTTTTCTTGTTTAATCATAAATTGCAAAAAATATTTTTGAGTGAGTTTTAAAATAGGAAAAAAGTAGAAAGCCAATGCAGAAAAATAATCTTTGAAAACAAGTCATCATAACTTTCCTTCTCAATTAAATTGATCTTGATCTATATATTATATTAAATATATACATCTATTGTATATCTTGATTGATCTATATCTTGATCTATGTATTATATTAAATTGATCTTAATATATATATATATATATATATATATATATATATTTATTTACTTACTTTATTATTTATTTATTTGTTTGTTTGTTTGATCATTGTTTTTGGCCATTGTGGAAATAGACATAACCATGTCTGTTTTGTGTCTGTATGTTCAAGCAATCTGCCAGGCAGGAAAAACCCATTATGAATTTCCCATTATAGGAGAAAAACAACTAAAATATAAGTAAAAAATACATACATACATACATAAATGAACGAATAAATAAACCGTTTGCTTGCATTAACATAAGCCATCTTTATCATTTGGTTTCTGCGTAGACCTGCGGTCGCCCCTCTCTACATGCACAAATCGGTGGGCAGGGCAAAACAGGCAGCGATGTAGAAGCAAGCGTTGATATTCTTCTGCAGAGACAGAGTTTAGCCACACTATTACATCATTGAGTAGAACATTCCAAAAGCTGTCGTTTTGACAGACTGTCTTCAATATAAGCTGTTTTTAGACTAACAAGTTTTGAGTTCTGAAGCTTACATGATGTTTTATAGTACAATGACCTCTTATATGTCAAAATATTTTGGTTTCTCAGTTTATGACCCCTTTAACACTGATTCAAAACAACACTGAACCTCATTGAGTTGCATTGTATGGACATAAAACAGTGATCAGAATTTTCAGTATCACTTTACTTAAATAATTTATGTATAATGCATTATAAAGTTAGTTTTAATGCATTATGCCTTGTAATGCTCCTTATATAATGCATCGTCCAATCTCATGAATAACCACAGTCAATACATTACAACACTTATCAATTAATTGTTACACCATGCATTTTAAATTAGGTTATAATTATTTATGACAGGATATAATGTATTACAGCTCATATTATGAATAATTATAATGCATTATACCCTTTAATAACCCTTTATAATGTATAATACATAGGGCTGCCCTCCACTAAAGATTTTTCTGGTCGACTAGTAGTCGTTCATTTGAAGCATTAGTCGACTAATCGTACGTTTATTAATAAACCATTTAAATCATAAATATGAGCCTTTAACTGCCTACGTAGCCTAATAAGCGCTCAAGTGCCCATAAATCTTGCCACAGCACACCGGCAAAAGTAATAATTATGAATGTGTCTGGGGAAAAACAGTAAGGAGGCTGCATTAACATTAATAATTTCTTGATGAACTAGTGCTTTTTTGTTTTCGGTTTGAGAGATGAAGTCGGCGACACTGACTTGTCATCTCCACAGTGGTGGACGCGCCTGTATGCATGTTTCATATGGATAATATAATCTGAAAATATTGTTTTCCATTTGAATTGGTTAATTTGAAAGTAAACATTTCATTCTCTATAGATATCTGTAGGGCAAGCATGCATGGAATTTCGGAGTTTCGCGCTCAAGTTCAGAGAGACCGAGACAGCAGAAAGCGCATCCTTTCATTATTTTACAAAAGCACAATGTTTGAGAGAGCACACAAATAAACGTAGAGTCTTTACAGATTCGAAAGCTGTATTACTCTTATCTGTATGACCAAAAATGGGGGAGTATTTAAAGAGCAAGTGACCGCTCCGGCGCCTCCATCTGTTACGCAGAGTGCTAGTTACTGTTCAGCTTCCACGCTCCACACACACACTTGAATAGCGCACATTTAACATTAGATTGAGCGGCCATGTATAGTTGCTGCTACTAACATATTTCAGATGATAAGTCTTATTTAATTAAGGTCGATGAATGATAGGCGAGCATTAGGATGTCTTGCCCGATGTACTGTACTACCACATATACCGGCCGTTAATGATCTGTCCGTCACGGACTGTGTAACTTCGCCTGTGGATTTTTTTATTTTTTCTGCGACTAATAAAATTGAGGTCGACCAAGCCTCTTCTGGTCAACTAATGGTTAGTCGACTATTAGGGGGCAGCCCTAATAATACATTAAGGCTTTAAGTAAAGTGTTACCAAATTTTCATTTTTGGATGAACTGTCCCTTTAAATAATGGAGGATTGTAAAAAGTAAACGCACTAGATAGATAGAAGTAGTTTAAATAAATTAAGAAATAATTATTTGGAAAACTGATTGAAAGAAATTGTATCATGGGAACTGCCAGTCAGATTTATGAGCATGTATTTAGTGTTTTTAACTGGCTTTCTCATGACATTTAATTTACTGTTCCTCACTACTACTGACAGAGTGGCGTGAACCACAACCCTGTGTCTGGCACTTTGAGGAAAACCACTCAACCACAGCAGCACTTTGTGTGCAGTCAAATCTCAGACGTTTCTCACTGGAATGTCACTCAAAGTTGCTAAAAAGACTCAAACAGTCTTCTCAAACAATTACATACGAACACGCACAAAGCCCAGTCACACATATGGCAAAGCTCCCCACTTACAACTGCAGAAAACCAGCATGTTCTAATATGTTCTTTTATTTCTTTTTTTAAAGGATGAGAAGTATTGGAGTCGTCGCTGTAAGAACAACGAAGCCGCAAAGCGTTCTCGTGATGCGCGTCGACTGAAGGAGAACCAGATCTCGGTGCGTGCTGTCTTCCTTGAGCGCGAGAACGCTGCACTCAGACAGGAAGTAGCCGACATGCGCAAAGAGCTCGGCCGGTGCCGTAACATCCTGAACAAATACGAGAGCCATCACGTGGATCAATAAGGAGATGAAGAAAGTGTTATGAGATGATGGATGGAATGGAGAATGCGATGAATGTCCTCATGATAGCTGAAAGACAGACGAAAGTGCATCAAATATATGGGATGATGTATGAAGACGGCACAAGAGCTCAAGTTTTTAACTGGAGTGAGAGAGCATGTCACCTCTCTTATTATTATTATTATTATTTTTTTCTTCGGTAGGTACTATGGCAAGATTTTAATTATGGAGAGAATTGTATATTTTTATATGATAGAAATATGCTTAATGGGGAAAGGACATTTTTGAAAATAATTTTTGTATATTTTCTATATCTTTTGGAGGGCTGTAAAGTAGTGGCAGAGGGAACTGGTTAAGGTATCATTGTAACATAAAATCAGGTTCATGTGGAATTTTTTGAAGCGATCAACTCTTTAGTTGTTGAAGACTTTTGATCTTGTGAAGGATAAAAAATGAGGGACAGAATTAAGCCTAGGCAAGAACATCAGAAAAATTTCAGAAAATAACTTTCTAGAGAAATTAAACTGTAAGATATTGAGAAAAAAATATACATTTAAATTTGTATAGAAATGTTATTATAGATTTATTCAAGCACTTAAGTTGTGATAAACCTGTGGTGACCAAGAACAACCACTGATGAGGGGAATGACGGGTGCATCTCAACTCTTTGGGGATGAACCTTGTTTATCAGTCTACTGCTGATATTTATTTGTCATTCTGAACATGTAATGATGGTAAGAAGATGGTAAAGAAAGACATGCATTAATTATCACATTTTATCTGCATTTTTTTGTTTATTTCATTTAATGGTGAACTCAGTAGGATTATTTTCTTCTTAAAGTTAGTATCTCTTGTCTACAATGTACTTTTTATAGGAATCTGACTCACAGTTGCAAACAAAAAAGCAACTTTTTAGCAGCAGCATACATCCACAGTGTGCAGATCTTAAGTGAACTTGCAGAGGCTGTTCTTGCTGTGCAAAAACACAATTTGGACCTCTATGGATTGAATAAATGGGACATGACTCTCATCTGATTGTACAGAAAGATTCCTTGCATTGGAAATTGCATTTCAAAACAGGTTGACATGTAGACACGTCTGTGCTTTTGAACCTGTGTATGCACTTACTTTTATTGGAACAATATTGAATTTTTACAACCCAATCAGCGGTGTCAGTACAAAGAGCTCGGCCGGTGCCGTAACATCCTGAACAAATACGAGAGCCATCACGTGGATCAATAAGGAGATGAAGAAAGTGTTATGAGATGATGGATGGAATGGAGAATGCGATGAATGTCCTCATGATAGCTGAAAGACAGACGAAAGTGCATCAAATATATGGGATGATGTATGAAGACGGCACAAGAGCTCAAGTTTTTAACTGGAGTGAGAGAGCATGTCACCTCTCTTATTATTATTATTATTATTTTTTTCTTCGGTAGGTACTATGGCAAGATTTTAATTATGGAGAGAATTGTATATTTTTATATGATAGAAATATGCTTAATGGGGAAAGGAAATTTTTGAAAATAATTTTTGTATATTTTCTATATCTTTTGGAGGGCTGTAAAGTAGTGGCAGAGGGAACTGGTTGAGGTATCACTGTAATATAAAATCAGGTTCATATGGTATTTTTGAAGCAAACTTTTGATCTTGTGAAGGAAAAAAATGAGGGGCAGAATTAAGCCTAGAAAAGAACCTTAGAAAAAAAATAACTTTCTAGAGAAATTAAACTGTAAAATACTAAGAAAAATATGCATTTAAATTTGTATAGAAATGTTAATACAGATTTATTAAAGCACTTAAGTTGTGATAAACCTGTGGTGACCAAGAACAACCACTGATGAGGGGAATGACGGGTGCATCTCAACTCTTTGGGGATGAACCTTGTTTATCAGTCTACTGCTGATATTTATTTGTCATTCTGAACATGTAATGATGGTAAGAAGATGGTAAAGAAAGACATGCATTAATTATCACATTTTATCTGCATTTTTTTGTTTATTTCATTTAATGGTGAACTCAGTAGGATTATTTTCTTCTTAAAGTTAGTATCTCTTGTCTACAATGTACTTTTTATAGGAATCTGACTCACAGTTGCAAACAAAAAAGCAACTTTTTAGCAGCAGCATACATCCACAGTGTGCAGATCTTAAGTGAACTTGCAGAGGCTGTTCTTGCTGTGCAAAAACACAATTTGGACCTCTATGGATTGAATAAATGGGACATGACTCTCATCTGATTGTACAGAAAGATTCCTTGCATTGGAAATTGCATTTCAAAACAGGTTGACATGTAGACACGTCTGTGCTTTTGAACCTGTGTATGCACTTACTTTTATTGGAACAATATTGAATTTTTACAACCCAATCAGCGGTGTCAGTACAAATGTTTCTAAATCTATTAGTTTCGTGGTTCCTTGTTATTTCTCCAGTCATGTCTGTTTCTTTACTTAATGACCATTAAAGTAACTTCACTTATTATTAATTATTATTGATCTGATCATTATTACTATTGTTGTTAATACTACAAATGAATTATTTTTGTTGTTTTGTTTCCTTGATATTGTCTATTTTAATGCAAGTCTCCTCTAGGCTGTAGAGATTTTGACACTTCCTGTTTTTTAAAGCATTCATCGTCAACACCAGCTGTAGAAGAAGTGTTGCTGTGACAGCCAGGTCAATTTATGTGTCAGAGGAATGCTGGGGGAAAAAACTGGTGCCCTGGGTGATCACAAACTGCTTCCCCGAAATAAATGGATTTTTTTTCTCTCTTTTTTTCTGTACACTAGCATTATAAAGAACCATCTTACCATTTGTGCTGTTTTTTTCTCTTTTTTGCATGTAGGTGTTTAAAGCTAACTGCCTTTTTTTGCCCAGTAATTTGCCGCCTCCTTAACCATATACTTTTGCAGATGGATTTTGGGTAATGTAGTCCTTACGTTTCTGCACGTCCACATGTGGATGACTATGAACATTTTGTGTTGTGACTTGTTTTTTTGATGTACAAATGCCCTAATGCATCAGTGTTACCCACACTGCACCTAGCCAAAGTAATGCAGGGGAATGTAGTCTTTTTCTCCAAGACCACAAATAAACTATCGTTCTTACTAAACACTAAGGTTGATTATTTTGTATCATGTCATGTGTGCCTATTCTGTGTGCTACCACATGCAGTATCTTCAACTTCCTTACTTTTTCATAAATAAAATGGCGACCAGGATACTGCATGTTCTTTTTGAATTTGAACAGAATGAATGAAGCCCACAGATGTGCTTGTAGAAAACCTCTCAACTATCCAGCTCACATGTTGTCATGGACTGAAGTTTATAAAAGGCTATGCCCTTTAAAGCAGCACTATGTAACTTTTTCTGTGTTCAAAATTTGCTAAATGTATATAATGAGCAAGTACATCATGAATTTATCTTCCAAACCGCGTTTTTGTTTTATTCCGAATCACTACGGTACACATATAATAAGTACTTATATTTGTTTAATTTTATATTAAACGAAGAGAAGAAGTAAAAAAAAAATTAGAAAGATATTTGTAAATAAAATAAATGGGAAAGTATATAGCATAAATTATATTTTTAAAATGTGAATATGCATTCTGGAATTCAATAAAAATGAATATTATCACATATATTGCAGATAGAATGCATCTAGCTGGAAAAGCAACATATTGCTATAGTGTCTTGCACATTGTGGCTGGAGCACCAGTAGATGTTTGGGATTGTTTATGTTTAGACAACATTTTTCTTTTACTCTGAGGAATATAATGTGCTGACATTTATGTACAGGATGTTTGCAGCTCTACCTACACTGTAAAAAATGAAAAGATGCTCAAGGCACTATTTGATTCCTTCAATTTCCACAAAACCCAGTGATTCCTGACCAGGAGACAAAGTAGATGGCTGCAAGATGGTTTCAAATGATTTAAAATAAGACTAAATAAGCTTTAAAATAAGCTTCAAAAAAGCTAAAGTGTCATATGACATATTTCTTATTTTAATTGGTTCCCTCAACAACTGTTGAATTTATTTAAGAACCAGGGTTCTCACGTCTCACGGGGGGGTCATACATCCAGTACATCAAACTGGATGTATGAGAATTTATATGAAGGAATTTCAAAAGTGTGATTTCTGGACCTGAGAAAGTTATGGAAATTAATAAAATGTTAAAAAGGACATTTATAACGAGTATACATTTTGGTAACACTTTAGGGACCGATGCTCACTATTAACTAGTTGCTTATTAGCATGCCTATTATTAACACATTGGCTGTTTATTAGTACTTATAAAGCACATATTCTGCATGACCATATTCTACTTCCTTAATCCTACCCAATACCTAAATTTAACTACCTTACTAACTATTAATAAGCAGCAAATTAGGAGTTTATTGAGACAAAAGTCATAGTTAATGGTTTGTTAATGGCGAGAATTGGACCTTAAAATAAAGTGTGACCTAAATTTTTAGTTAGGTCACACTAAAATAATTAATTGGGTAATAATAATGCCCTTCACTAATATTGGCACCCTTGGTAAATATGAGCAAAGGTGGCTGTGAAAATAAATCTGTATTGTTAATCCCTTTTGATCTTTCATTCAAAAAATTCACAAAATTCTATCCTGTCATTGAAGTAAAACAATTGAAAGTGGGGAGAAAATCTCATGATGAAATAAATGTTTTGCTTCCTAGAGATTCTTACGAGTAAAATATCTCTGAAGTATGTTCCCATTCATATTTACATTTTTTAGCACACCAGGGTGACTATGAGCATGAAATTGTCTAGCCACGACTTCCTGTATCACAGGATTATAAATGAGGAACAAAAAGGCCAAATTCCCTTAATCATCCATCATCACAAGGAGTAAAACCAAAGAATATTGTTCTGATGTGCAGAACAAGATTGCTGAGCTTCACAAAATAGAAAGTGGCTGTAAGAAAAGAGCTATGAAAATCCCCATTTCCATCACCAGGGCAATAATTAAGAGGTTCCAATCAATTAAAGATGTTACAAATCTGCCTAGAAGAGGACGTGTGTCTATATCGTCCTAATACACGCTGAGGAGGACAGTTTGAGTGGCCAAAGACTCTCCAAGGACCACAGCTGGAGAATTGCAGGGATTAGTTGAGTCTTGGGGTCAGAAAGCCTAATATATATATATATATATATATCCCTATATATATAGGGAAGAACAATTCTCTTCGCTCATCCAAAAACAAACTCCGCCATATTCAGTTGTCAGACACGACTGGAACTTCACATGGCACTGGCTTCTATGGTCAGATTAAACTAAAAAAAAAGAGCTTTTTGGCAGCAAACCCACCAGACAGGTTTAGTACAAACAAAGATAAAGTACCCCATGCCCATGGTTAAATATACTGCTGGATCTTTAATGTTGTGGGCCTGTTTTTCTGCTGGAGGTCCTGGACATCTTGTCCAGAAACATGGCATCATGAATTCTATCAAATACCAACAGATAAAAAAATCTAAACCTGACTGCCTACGTTAGAAATCTTATAATGGGCCGTGGTTGGATCTTCTATCAGGACAGTAATCCAAAACAAACATCAAAATCAACACAAAAATGTGTCACTGAGCACAAAATTAATCTTCTGCCATGGCTGCCCCAGTCCTCTGACCTGAACCCTACAGAAAATGAGTGGGTGAACTGAAGAGAAGAGGCAACAACATGGAGCTGGGAATCTGAAGGATCTGGAGAGATTCTGGATAAAGGAATGGTCTCTGATCTCTTATCAGGTGTTCTCCAAACTCTTAGGAGAAAACTCAGAGCTGTGTCTTGGGAAAAGGACGTTGTAATAATTGGGCGCCAATAATTGTGGCCAACATAACCTAGAGAAAGCATTTATTTCACAATGAGATTTCCAATTCATTTTCAACAACAATTTCAATTGTTTTATTTCAATGATAGGTTAGAATTTTGTGATTCTTTTGAATGAAAGATCAAAAGTATAAACAATGCAGATTTATTTTCACAGCCGCCTTTGTTCATATTTACCAGGGGTGCCAATATTAGTGGAGGGTGGAGGGCACTGTATATATGTGTAAAGACTCTCTAATCAGACTAGAAAAGTCATATAAATTCATTGGTGATAAAATGTGTAGACCCTAAAGAACCTTTAGTTATTGAAACCTCCAGAATTACAGAATTTAATAACTTTCATTATTTACAATTATTTTATTTAATTCGTTTAGATAATTTTTATTAATATTTATAAATAAATCGACAAACTACTAATTTAAATCGCCACTCCTAGTTTCTGTTAATGAAAAAGTTTGACAGTGAGTTGAAGTACCAGAAATATCTTGTGGGCGCTGCTCTCAGAACCATGTATCTGAAAAATCATATTGTGTACTCAACGAAGGTCAACTAATATTTCAAGTGCCTCAAAAACATTTTCCTGTGATGAGTTATATGAGGAGGTCTTTAGACAAAGAGCTTAGGAGCTATTGCATGAAACCACGAGTCCCTTTACCAAGAACTCTTTTCTGAAAAGGTGCCTCAAGGTTCTCCAGAGGTTTCTGCTTCTCCAAATGTTCCCACATTTATACAGTGTAGTTTATTGCCCAGGTATATAAGCACCTGTAGACCTGTATCATCTTAGTGTGCTCACTCTGGACATGAAACCAACAACAGAATGGGAAATCAACATATACAGTACATTTATGAAGGCCCCTCCTATACAGTAAACAGAAAATGAACATTAGATTGTAGTTGTACGTTCATTTTTTGGGAGATTTGTTGAGATAAAAAGGTATGTTTTTATCGCTGAGTGTGACATTCATCAAAAGGGTGAGATCTAGAAATTAATCAGTGAACTTAACTTGAATGTGATTGTTTGTTGGTTTAGCTGGTCGCTCTGTGTGGAAGCACCGTCGCGTTTATCTGTCAAAGTGTGTGTTTACTGTTGCTAAAGGAAGCAGGTTCCTTGCTGTCTTAGGATGCTGAGATTAACTGTAGTGTGTTGAGAAGAGTCTGTATCAGGCGGGTCACTTTGCAACAGTATTCAGCTTGGCACGGTGCATGTGTATGTGGAGAAGAGTGTCTCCATGAGGCCTGTCATTTGATGTGGGGGTGAGTGTTTGTGCTCATTTGGCATCAATGGAATTGGGTGAAAGGTCTTTTCTTCTGCGGAATTCTACCCAGCATTCAAAACACTCAATAAGATCCAGATGTGTGTGTTCTTGCATGTACGGCGACTCCACTCCTTCCTCGCCATCACACCATCACAAAACCCCCTCCTCCAGATTCTCCCCATCTTTATATCCCCTCTCCTGTCTCGCTACCTCTTTCAAAACCTCTGCAGTGAGTGTCAGGGAAAGATGGAGCGATCTCTGCTTGTGTCTCTTCTGTGTGTGTGGGTCCTCAGCAGCCTGTCTGCAGCATCAGGTGAGTGTGTTTGTGTGCGTGGGTGACTGAGAGAAAATGAAAGGATTATGATAACTTTTTTTTATAATGAATAATGAATGAATGAGGGATCATATATGATGGATATTTGCCTTGTTGGACGAGTAAAAAATGCGGAGGCTCAGTATTTATGAATTTGTATTTTTTTTTATGTAAAGAAAATATGATCATTTGTATTTATTTAAAAATGCATTATGGGCTCCATTTCATTACTCAAAAAAACAAAAAGTCATTTTTTACCTAACTTCATGTTGCTCCAAACATATATGACTTTCTTTTTTCTACTGAAAACAGATACTTTGAAGAATTTTTTAACTGTTTTTTTTTTTTTTTTACTGTGTTTTGCCCATACAGTGAAAGTCAGTTGGGTCCAAAACAGTTTTGGATTTTCATTTTAGAAATTATAAAAAAAAAAAATGATGTTACACAGAAGAACTGTAAAGTTTAGGAATGACATAAGGGTGCGTAAACGATGACAGAATTTAAATTTTTGAGTAAACTGTCCCTTTAAAATCTGTGCCCAATGTGTGCTTTTGTCATTTACTAATCCCCTCCCTTTCACATATTGCCTTGAGAATCTATTTTTTAGAGCTAGTTTTCCATGAAATTTGGAACACACATACTGTACATATGCAGTGTATCATCTTCTGTTTCAGTTCAAAATCATTGCATAATCACAAATGCATAATTGTGTTAAGCTCTTATATTCTACTACCAACACACTGTTATGAGCTTGTAACATTTAAATGTTACATCCTGTCTGGTTTATGTGGATAAATTGTGTTAAATACCTGGTTCAGTTCAGAGAACAGTGTCTTGGGCAGACAGCCAGACATTTAACAGCCTGCTATTTTATGGCACAGATTAAACAGTTAGACAGATAAATTACATTGTATTTAAAGCATTGCTTGCATGTACACTACTGGGCAAAAGTTTTGAATGATTTGGATTTTTAAAATGTTTTCGAAAGATACTGTATGCTCACCAAAGCTGCATTCATTTGATTTAAAAAAGTACAGTAAAAACAGTGATATTGTGTAGTAGTGTTACAAATTAATAGAAGGATCACGTGATACTGAAGACTGCAGTAATGGCTGCTGAAAAAGTTGGCTTTGCCACCACAGGAATAAATTACATTTTAAAATATATCCAAATATGAAACCATTATTTTACTTTATTGTAAATTGTACTGTATTTTTACTGCTTTGGTGAGCATAAGAGATTTCTTTCATTTTAAAAAATCATAATTATTACAGATTTTTGACTGTATGTATGTCAGCCCGCTTGTATGTGAAACGGATCTTTTTCAACATTTTTAATGTTTCTGTGCATGCCAATCTTGAAGTGGACACAACAGAACAGTGTCCAGAGAGGATACTGGGTAACGAGAGAAGACAAACATGCCCAAAAAAGTGTCAGCAAGATAAAGACTGTGGCAACAAACGTCAGTGTCTCTGTGACGGCCAGTGTGGACTCAGCTGTGTGGCCCCAGGTCAGAACTAGAAACCCCATGATGCATCTATACACATTATAACAAAACTTAAAAAGCAAATAAACCAAAACAATGACTAAAACTATGATATATTATAAGGCAGTGCTCCCAGTTTTTCTGTGATTTTTCTGTGTGAACAGGTCGTACGTGTCCATGGCCTCTCCCACCTGGAAAGAATTTTGATGTAGCTCTCCTTTCCCCTTCACCCTCATTCTCCGCTCTGCTTGAGGTTCGCTGTAAGCCTGGGTTCACCATGCATAATGGGCTAGACTCTACAATACGCCGTTGCCAAGGTGACCGGCAGTGGAGTGGAGATGAGCCTGTTTGTACAGGTAGAAAATATTTAAACTGTTACGTATCGCTTTCTTCAGTACTTTTTACTTATCTATAATCTATCAGTCTGTCTCTCTATCTATTATTCTATTGCTCAATTGTTCTGTCTTTGGTATATAGGCTATATATATATATATATATATATATATATATATATGTATATAAAGTGTCTCTAATGGTTTTTGTTGCACCTTAGGTTTAGCAAAGAACCCTTCTCTTATACTTAAAGGAATAGTTCTCCCATGAAAATGAAAATTCTGTCATTAATTACTCATCCTCATGTTGTTCCAAACCCATAAGACCTTCATTCATCTTCGGAACACAAATTAAGATATTTTTGATGAAATCCAAGAGCTTTCTTATCCTCCATATAGACAGCAACGCAACTGACACATTCAAGGCCCAGAAAGGTAGTAAGGACATCGATAAAATAGTCCATGTGACATCAATGGTTCATCTGTAATTTTATGAAACTATGAGAATACTTTTTGTGTGCAAAGAAAACAAAAATAATGACTTCATTTAATAATTCGTCTCTTCTGTGTCAGACTTCAACGCAGCTTGTTTACAATCAGAGGCATGCACACACATGCACCGTGGTACTCTCGTGAATGTGCATCGAAAACTGACAAGGAAGAGACAAATTTGTTCAATAAAGTCATTATTTTTGTTTTCTTTGCACACTATTCTCGTAGCTTCATAAAATTATGGATGAACCACTGATGTTGCATGGACCATTTTAACAATGTCCTTACTAGCTTTCTGGGCCTTGACCTTGGTAGTTGCGTTGCTGTTTATGCAGGGTCAGAGAGCTCTTGGATTTCATCAAAAATATCTTAATTTGTGTTCCGAAGATGAACCAATGTCTTACAGGTTTGGGACGACATGAGGGCGAGTAATTAACAACAGAATTTTAATTTTTGGGTGAACTATCCCTTTAAAGCCATTTTCTTTATAAAGGGATATGAACTCGCAACTTCTTGATTTTCACAGCCGTAAAAAACTTCTTGATATTGGATTGTAGGTCTGTATTGGTATAAACTATAGCAGAGGAAAAAGATGCCCTCCTGGGTTCTTTGAAACTTTAGAACATAGATTGTTTTCTAAATAACCATAAAACCTAAAACCATTCTACTATGGCCAGATTTTCAACCAGGGGTCTACAGAAGGTCTTGCAGCTAGTCCTAGAACAGATACAAAATAAATAAAGATTATAAACATGAAAAATAGCTTAACTTTTAAGAATTATAGAAGGCACTTTTTTTTGTTGGTATATGAGTGAACATTACTATAAAGTGTAATTGGTTTCTATATTGAAGGTCCCTGAGGCGAGATGGGGGTCCCTGGGTCTGTTACATTTAAAAATCTGATATTGCATAAATACACATAAAAAATGGAACATGACATGAAAACATCAGTCCTGTTGGGTCAGTTTGCCCTCATCTTGTTCGTAAACCATTCAGGTAATGTCAATATTATGCAGTTCATGGGGAATGCCTTCATAGCAACGATATTATGGTGGTGATATTGAGTGCAACCGACCATGAATGCAGGAAGAAATGAGAAATATGTGTCAGTGTCTGCATAATAATGCGTTTTTTTGGTTGCATGAGTAATGAAAGCTTAGCGCTTGTGGACCTAGGTCACCACTTGTTTCTGGGCTATGGGGTTTTTTAGTCTTTAGACTCCAGCTCTGTGAAGAGGAGGCGTGAATCGGCAGAGCTCCAGGCTGCAGCAATCCCAGTATCACCCCCTCTGTAACACATGCATGCATACATTCACACACACATTTCCTGGAGTAACATGAGAGGTATTTCTAGGAATGAGCTGTCAAAAGAGCCGAGGTGTGGGCGTTTGGGGTCTGTGAGAACCGTCCTGCAGTACTCTATTATCTGCAGATCAGTAACATGGAATATTTAGCAAGCAGAGACATGCATGTAGATACGCTGGATTCACACACAAAGCTCAAGCGCATTCAAAGTTGAATTGATGTACAATGGAAGTTTGGTGTGTGTGCATGTTGACTGTGTGATTTCCTCCCCCTTCATTAATCAGTCATTCTCACAAAAGGGGGAGCGATTTGATACATAGCTGCATGAGTCAACTGCTCAAGAGGGAATGTGAGAACAGTTTGTTCCAGATGGATTTTTTCTGATAAAACTCAAAATGTAGCCACACATTCTGTCCATCCATCATCTGGGTACCCGTTCAGCCACACGTTGTTGACCTGTGAATCCATTTGTCAGCCGTACATATCCATCTGTCCATTCACCCTGTCATGTATTTGTGCTCACGCTACCTCATCTAATATAGTGGATAAAAGCTCCAGGCCAATATCCACAGGGTCATCCATTTGAATTCCAGTCACGACCATGCACCAAAAGCCCAGGAGGCTGAATAACGGAGGGCTTTTTGCTGCAATATCTCTGCTCTTAAGGCCCGTTCACACCAAGAACGATAACTAAAGATAACTATATTTTTGTCCACACCAAGGGATAACAACATTCTGTTGATTTTAAGGGCGTCCTGCAGTTTTGTCGTCTGCTGCTTTAAATACTCAAGCTCTTTAAAGTCTAGTGGATTCTGATTGGCTGTTTTTATCATTCATCACATTCTGAAAGTGATTCCATTCCACCAATATTGTTTCTATGTGTTATTATTGTTCTAGTTGTTGTGTGAACATCCCTATATTCTTGGATAATTATAAAAAAAAATGTTGGCATTATCATTAAATTTATCAGTCTTGGTATGAACAGGCCTTAACAATGTCCAGGCTCTTGAACGTTTGAACTTTTTAAGAGTCACTATCCTCCCATGTGACCAATTTTAATATGACATTCATTTTTGTGCATTTATTCATAAATACACAAAAATGCAATGCAATGACTTGAATGTACTTCTAATTTCTATATTAAAACTTTTGCATTGCAAAACTGCATTCCTCCTAGAAACTTTGCATTTGCTTGCAAATATTTTGAGTTTCCCCAAGAAACTTTGCATTTGCTCACAAAAATTTTGCACTTTTATTTATTTATTTATTTTTTATTTATTTTGCTAAAGCATTGCTTTTCACAAAGAATCTTTGTGCAAAATAATTGAATCTATATATATTTTCAATCTCATTTTATTGCCATCACCAGTTTTTAATTGCTCAAAAAAAAATTACCACGTATATGCAAATTCCCAGGGAAGTGCAAAAGTTTTGCAAAACCATTGTAACATTTTTTTTCTTCCCACCTCATATTTTTCCATCACTGTGTCCCCATAGCGGCTCCTGTAATTTTTATATATCATAATATAAAAGAAATACAGAAAAATACTAAATGATTTACTAGCAGAAATGATACCATAAAGAGGACCGCTGCAGACTCTCATGACTGCGTCAAGGTCAAGTCTATTGCAATATCCTTTTTTTTTTTAATGACTAAGATGTGTACACAAGGTGTCAGGAAATTACTCCTTTTTCCTCTTTGATTGATTTTCACTAGTCTACATTTATAGATAATTAAATTGAAACTTTAAATTGAAAAGGTTTTTCTAAAACAATAAGAAACATGAATAAGAGTACAATTCTAAAAATTTTGCACATGTGTTACAACCAAGCATTTAATGCATACTCAAGTCAAGAGATAAATATGCTATTTTGATTTTTTTTCCACCAGCCTCCCCAGGAGGAGGTCTTGCAGCAGAGCCGGCTCTGGTGCCTGAGGTGTCCTGTTCTTTGCCTGATGATGATCTGCTCTCTGTGCAGGGCAGTGCCATCGTGGGATCCATCATCCAGTACCAATGTGCAGCTGGGTGAGACTTATGAGAAAGAGAGAAAACTGTGACTGATATAAACAGAATATCTAGTTTTATCATGCTTATATACAGTGTTGGGAAGGTTACTTTGGAACTGTAATAGGTTACAGATTACAAGTTACCCTATTTAAAATGTAATAGTAGTGTAACTTTTTCAATTACTTTATTAAAGTAATGTAACTGATTACTTTTGATTACTTTTTGATTACTTTTCTAAATTTCTAATGAATGTTTATTTGCAACTGTTAATCATTTTCAAAAATTACGCAACGCCGTTACATGTAACTAGTTACTCCCCAACACTGCTTATATAATCTACACACCTCGTCTTCTTTCTCATACAGATCTGTGCTGATCGGAAATAGTGAGAATATCTGTCATGAGAACCAGACGTGGCAATACCCTCACCCCATCTGTCGCCGTAAGTGTGTGCATGTGTGTGTGTGTGACTGTATGCATTCCTCAACATGAGAATGACTGAGACATAGATCTTGCTAAAAAGAAATAGCAGGTGTATTAGAATGTGCTTGAGTGGAAAATGTTGATCCAAACTGCTAAAGAGATCTCAGTTTGCCTGCTCTTGCACACCATGGAACAAAGTAATGAGAGAGAGATGAGAGGGACAGCGGGAGAGAGAAGAGCAATGAAGACTGTGTGGGTTTGTGAGTAGGTGGATAGGGCACTATGTGTAAATGGATTTATGAGTGTGCAGCGCTATTGCAGCCGATGTGGGTTTGACTAATATATGCTGGTGCAATGCTTCCCCCTGTTGGATCATTCTAGGGTTGTTGTAAATGCATATTCCGGGGTTCAATACACGTTAAAGGCATAGTTCACTCAAAAAAAGAGAATTCTGTCATCATTGGCTCACCCTCAAGTTATTCCAAACCTATATGAATTTCTTCTGCTAAACACAATAAATGATATTATGTCTGTAACCGATGATAGTAGCCATTGAGTTCCATGGTATTTTTTTTTTCAATACTATGGAAGTCAATGACTACCGTAAACGGTTTGGTAATGAACATTCTTCAAAATATCTTAATTTGTGTTCAACGGCTGAAAGAAATTCATTTAGGTTTGGGAAGAGCTTGAGGTTGAGTAAATGATGACGGAATTACCTTTTTGATAGTAATTTACTTTTGGGTGAACTATCCCTTTAAGCTCAATCGAAATCACTACTGCATAATGTTGATTACCACAAAAATGTATTTTGACTGGTCCTTCTTGTTCCTTTCCTTTCCTTTAAAAAAAAAAGTGCGTTACCTTGAGGCTCTTTAAGTGAAGGCTGATTTGTAAACATTAAAAATACTCATTGTTTCAAAAATATTTGGAAAAGATGCAAAATAAATATACTTGTTAACATGATTTTTAGTGAAAATAACATATTATCATTTTCTGGGTAAAGTTATATTAAATTTTTATTTTTTTAACTTGGTTGCTATGAAAACGCATCCCCCATTGTAAATGATAAAATTATAAAAACTTTACAGCTCAAATAATACATATTATAACACAAAACATAGTATATATTTATTTATCTATTTACAAAAGCATTATCTTTCGGCTTTTAAAACATTAACATTAATATTATTTGCCACTAAAGTGGTGTTGATTGAGCCCAGGAATATTCTTTTAAAGGGTTTTCACATAATTAGACTTTATAAGGTTTTTAAGGTTTAATTTTTAATTCTGCAGTGCACTTACATGTAAATTAAAGTGTGTGCTTATGTATGTTATCAGGTGTGGTTTGTCCTCCTCCTAAGGAAGTTGAACGTGGACATCTGGTGGCCGTCCAGAGAACTGAATATGAAGTTGGTGATACAATCTATTACCTCTGCAAAAAGAACTTCTTGCTGGATGGTCCAAATCAAGTGACTTGTTTACCTAATGGGACATGGAGTGCAGAGCCTGCCTGCCGGGGTAAATAAAGCTCTTAACAAAACAATGCATCAAGTCATCATGACTGTGTTGAACATTCGCATTGAACATTTAATGTGCATAAATATATAAAAATATAAGGTTTGGAATGTTTTGGTTTCCAGCCGTGAATCATAAACCTCCTTTTTGTCATGACAAATAGCATCATTCTCTTCACCATTTCTTCCCGTCTTTCCGATCAGCCCGCTGTCCAGTCCCAGCTCAACGCAGCAGGGTGATCGTGGGAGGAGTAAAGCGTTGGCCATATGATCTGACGGATGGTGTGGTTGCTCATGGAGAGAATGTGACATTTTTCTGTAAACATCCAGAAAAACTGTGCAGCTTCACTGCCACAGAGGTCTGCGTAGATGGACAGCTCAAGCAACCTAGCTGCTATCTTGGTACATAATTCACACCACATTAATGCACATAATATAATAAGTGTACATTACACTTAAAAATAACCCTGCATCACCTTCGTCTCCCGCTTTTCTTTTTAGACCCTACCTGGCTGCAGTTCAAGCTCTTTCCTCATCGGCTGGTTTCAGAGATTGATCCATGTGATCCTGCTGACCTTCAGTGAACTCATCAAATTTTGACAACACATTTTGCATGTTGGCACACACTCTGACACCATGACCTGGAGTCTGGATCAACGTAAATTGTATTATTAACGTGCCAACTAAATTTGTTTTGGAACGGATCTCAGTAGGATCTCACAGTTATGCCTCAATTAACTCTTCTCTTTTCTTTGTTGTATGTTGTATTGACAATGTTACCTTAAACAGAATTTGTGTCATATTTGATATATGCAAACACCCTCATACTTGCTTGAGGTTATGGTTGCTGCAAGCTGCTCTCTTTTCATGTATTTTATTGTCATACAAAGTGTAAAACTGATTTTTGAGGTAGCGTTGGTGTTTATCTTGTTATAATATTTTATTTCTTTGTTAAAAAGTGATTTTCTGCAACCAAGAATGCACAGGCTAAAGGTGAACTCAGAAATCATGCCATGTACTGATGCTCTCTGTATTCCAAAAGCAGTTTTATGATATGTTTAGAGTTAACTGATCTTTGACTGGACTGCTTGATTGGATTGGATTACATAAATAAGACTAGGGAATATTATAGCAGAAAGCCTTGCTTAATTATTGCTGTCATACAGATTCAGTTTTGCATTGTGTAAACAGTGAATCATCTTTAAATGTTTGTTCTTCTTGTAATATCATGATTCTTCAATAAAGAAACTGGAGTGTTTGTTGTCATTTAAAACAATGATTTTATTTGAGCTGGTTAGACTGTATAAATGATTTTGGTAACACTTAAAGCCTTTATGTATAACGCTTTAAGTGTTATCATAATATGTATAAAGTGTTACCGTGATTTCTGCAGGTACAAAGAACTGTTTGAGTGCTGTATTCCATCTCCAAACCTAAAAATACAATGTAAAAGTGGCCTACAAGATATTCTACTTAAAGAAAATTAATAAATTTGAATGCCGGCTCTCGTTTGAAAATATTTTAAAGTTAATAATGATATAATTGTTAGTTTATAAATTTATTTTTATATTGAATAATGTGCCACGATTTTACTAAATGTGTTATTATCATGAAAACAATGCGAACATATTAGCTAAAGCACAACTGAAGTTATATAAAATTTAAATCCTACAGCATGTCCAGGTCGGACGTAGAAAACTGCAACACCACGACACCCCCCTCCCCTTTCGCTCGCGCTCAACCTCTTCGCCCAGTCATTCATTCATATTTGGTCTTCCGGAAGTATCTCAGGGTCGGGCCGTTCAGTGCCTGCGCGAGCTGACTCGTGGGGTGAGAACAGTTTCATATTCAATATTTCAGTTATAAAGAAGCGATGTGCGCGAATGGTTGTAAGCCTTTGGGAAGAAATGTGAGTTCTTGTGAATAGCAGTTCAAGAGCGTTGGTTGTCTTAGAAAGTTTGAAATAGGGTTTCCAAGGCATTAGTGTGTCTGAGCGCTGTCAGCGGCTCGAACCCTCGGTACTCATAAAATGGCTGGTCGCAGGTTCGAGCGCAGTCAGTGTTTTGACCAAAATATGTGAACAATTCAAGCGTATTTGCATTACACAGGTTATGGGGAGGGTATATCCTTCAGACAGATACTTTTTGGGCATGTAATGGCACGGGTTCGACTCGCTGTCTGGACCCCACAGACATCAAACGCGATGTTTGGTTTGATACTTTTCTTCTTTAAACGGACCTCCGGCGCGTAATGGCGTCGAATGTCCCGTGTTGATCTCTAACTCTCCCACAATGCTGCATGGCTGAGTGTACGGACAAAGGCATTGGTGTCAAACCTTGAGCCATGCGCGTTGACAGTTAATTTGTGATGAAAACCACGGGAAGGAGGAGCGGACCTGCTACCATGACAGCGCGCCGTTCAAGCCCATTGCGTTGTATTCCTGCTAACTGCATGGCATTTGTGTACTTTTGCAAATATTACGCAGACATCGAATGTTGGTGAAATTATAGGTCAGAATTGTAAAATCTTCCTTAGTAACGTGATTAACTATTGATTTGTGTTGGCATCCTATCAAGCTTTTCATTCCCAAAGAACTGGTCGGTTTTTAGTGTTTTTATATGGTTAAATGTGAGAACTTCTTCACTTCTAAACACAATTAGATTTTGTTTATGCAACAAAATGTAATATCTTTAACAACAAATTGCAAATTATATTGTTGCATTCATTATGAATTTGCAATTTGTAATAATAAAGTACTGGTGGGTTTCTTGGTTTAAATATACGGTTTATAAAAAACACATAATAAAATATCTTTATTCTGTTTATACAATATAAAATGCTTTATTGTTTTGATTTATTGTCAAAATGTTATAATGCTGTTAATTTAGGTTGTTATCATATAGAGCAGTGGTTCCCAACCCTGGTCCTGGAGGCACCCCAAACACTGCACATTTTGCATGTCTCCTTTCTCTGACACACTCGTTTCAGGTCGTGGAGTCTCTACTAATGAGCTGATGACCTGAATCTGGTGTGTTTGATTAAGGAGACATGCAAAACGTGCAGTGTTGGGGTGCCTCCAGGATCAGGGTTGGGAACCACTGATATAGAGGTTATGCTTTCTGATACAAATGAAAACAACTGCTAAAACATGATTTTCCAGCAGTATCCACCAGATTCCTCTGAAGTGTGTTCTAAGGTTTCAAAATATATCAAGAGTAGTTTTGTTGACCTATCGGACCAAAACAATGCATCTAGAGAAAGTTGATAATGACAGGATTTGTACTCCGAATGAGCCTGAGAAAGTAATGTATTGAAGCAATTAGTAAAAAGTTAATTTCTCTAATAGTGTATCAAGAATTAAATATATTATAATACTTCTGACAGTATGAATGTCGGTAATAGAAAAAAAATTAAAGGCTTATAAAATAATAAGTGATAAAGAAGGTTGTGTTTTTGTATAGTTTTTTTTTTCTGTGAAGAGTTGCTAATGGATGTCATCAGATTCTGCTGCTGAATGCATGTATTTAGTAGGTATCAATATTAAATGAAAATAACCTGAAATTTAATCATGTTGTTAAGAAAGAGGCAAATGGGTTTATTTTTTATATTACTACTGATCCCTAGATGAAATATAATTACACTTTTATTCTTTTATTCAAGTCTGATTTTTTTTATCAACCCTATATTGCCTCCTCTGTTTGTTCTGTTTAACTGCAATATCTGTTATGATTTTGTTTGTTATGCTTGTGAATATAAGTACTTCATAAGTACTTGTAAACAAACCCCCTTAGTTCAGAAAATGAACAAATTATTGTACAATTTTTTTCCAAGCCACATCAAAACTTCCTCAGCATCCATTTTTATGTACTATATGATACTGTCTTTTTATTATGGAAGCCCGTTTCCGCCACTGAATAGAAAATAAAAACAGTTATTGTGACTTTTTATCTCACAATTCTGACTTTTTTTCTCAGAATTGTGAGATATAAACTCACAATTGCGAGATATAAAGTCAGAATTGTGAGATATAAAGTCACAATTGCGAGATAAAAACTTGCAATTCTGACTTTTTTTCTCGCAATTGCGAGTTTATATTTCGCAATTCTGACTTTATAACACGCAATTGCGTGTCATATTCTGATATGTTCTCAGAATTGCGAGTTTATATCTCACAATTCTGACTTTCTAACTCGCAATTGCGAGTTTATATCACGCAATTCTGAGAAAAAAGTCAAAATTGTGAGATAAAAAGTCGGAATTACCTTTTTTATTTTTTATTCAGTGGTGG